TTGAATGAAGAAGAACGATTTGTGTTTAAATCAAAGTATTCAAATTATCTACTAAAATTTTCAAATCAAAAGTCATGTTTAATTTTTTAAACTGATTCACATTAATTAATGCAATCACACAACAAAAGTTGATTGTTGTAAATGAAATTGTATTTTACCTTGAAATTGTTTGGTATTCAATTTGGTATAGAGTAGATGCTCTATTTGTTCTAATGGGTATTATATTTTTAGGCGGTGGATTATGTCAAGACAAAATTTATTGCAGTTGTACAATTATCACAGTGAACAACGACATACAATGCGCTCCATGTGAAGAATGCCGAATATCATCATCACAAAGTCTGTTAACCCTTCGAGGACTGAAAAATTTTTATTTTTTTCTTTTTTTTACAGAAAAAAATTTCAAAAAATAATTTCACTTTTCCAAAAAAATGAAAATAATGGCGACTTTTCATGAACAATTTAGAATGATTTTTGACATATTTGATAAAATAGTTCAACTCAAATTCAAACTTTTGAATTATTTATAAAACATTTCATCATTCATAAACTCAAATTAATTGGGTTTTGTAAAAGATTCGTCCTTCAATCAATAAAATATATAATTTAACAAATTAATATCAGTAATAAAAATAATACGAAAATAAACTGTTTTTATAAACAAATAAAATTGTTAACAAAATCGATTAAAGAATACTATCAGATATTCAAGTTTTTCAAAAAACAAAATAAAAAACACTTAAAAAGTGTGCAAGATTGTGGGTTCGATATAACCAATAAGATTGGTTCAAACCAAAATAAAATAAGAACATGACAAAAATATTGTTGTTGAAATAATAAAATGGATTCCACTCAAACTAAAAATATATAGAGAACCAAATAACATCAAAATATTACAATAAAAACCCACTATTTACTATTAATTCTGTTTGTTATTCAACTAACACAATAATAACATTAAATTATTTGTCTTATATGGTAAAACAACGCTATAAAACATCAATTTAAGTCGAGAAAAATAGCAGTTTTGGATACATTATACAATGCGTGACAAAAGAATAATAAATCGTAAAGAAATATTAATTATAAATAAACTATAATAAATCAACCTTTGAATAATATAACTGATAGTAAATTATTAATTGATTATGATTGATTATTATAATAATATTAAAACTAAACCAAATAAACACCAATATGAATATAATTAAATTGAGCCAAGCATGAACAGCCTTGATTATGCTTATTCGTTTTTCATTTTCAACTTTCTCCTTCTCATGTTTGTCGTTGATGTCTGGGTTGATTTTCCACCAGACAAAACGATATTTTCAAACAACTAGTTTCTGATATCGACATCGCACTTCATGATTGAGTTGTAAATTATCTCATTAATACCTAATGCTTCAATACCAAGGAATGATGGCGAGAAAAGTGCTTCTGGGCATCTGAATCTCTCGTTGCCAATGGTGATAACTTCACTGTTTGAAAATTTGTTTTATTTTTCGAGTTCTGATGATGAAACAGATTTTTGCATTTTTTCGTCAAA